AAAGGATACACCATCCTAAATGCCAATAAGAACATTTGTGATTCTTGGGAAGAGGTCAAAGTATCAATATCAACAGGGGTTTGGAGGAAGTTGATTTCAACCCCTATGGATGACTTTGAGGGGCTCAAGACTTCATGGAGAATGTCACTGCAGATGTGGTGGGAAGAACAAGAGAACTAGAATTGGAAGTGGGGCCTGAAGATGGGACTGAATTGCTGCAACCTCACGAGAAAACTTTAAGGAATGAGGAGGTGCTACTTATGGATGAGCAAAGAAAGTGGTTTCTTGAGATGGAATCTAGTCCTGGTTTAGATGCTGTGAAGATTCCTGAAATGACAACAAAGGATTTAGAATATTACATAAACTTAGCTGGTAAAGCAGTGACAGGGTTTGAGAGGATTGACTCCAATTTTGAAGGAAGTTCTACTGTGGATAAAATGCTATCAAACAGCACTGCTGCTACAGAGAAAGTGTTCATAAAAGGAAGGGTCAATTGTTGCAGCAAACTTCATTGTTGTCTTCTTTAAAGAAATTCCCACAGGCACCCCAACCTTCAGCACCCACCACCCTTATCAGTGGGCAGCCATCGATATCGAGAGGCAAGACCCCCCCACCAGCAAAAAGATTATGACTCACTGAAGGCTCAGATGATGGTTAGCATTTTTTAGCAATAAAGTACTTTTTAACTAAGGTGTGTACATTTCGTGAGACATAATGCCATTGTACACTTCATCGACTACAGTATAGTGTAAACATCACTTTGATATACACTGAGAAACCAAAAAATCTGTGTGACTCACTTTATTGTGATATTTGCTTTATTGTGGTGGTCTGGAACTGAAACCACAGTATCTCCAAGGTGTGCCTGTACCCAAAAAAATAGATAAAACACATAAACGGAGCCAAAAAGAAATTTTGGAGCTAAAAGGAACAATAATTGAAATGGAAACTCCACTAGAGAGATCCCAAAACAGATGTGAGCAGACAGAAGAAAGAGTCAGAGAACCTGAAGATAAGACGACTGAAATTACAAAATCTGAGGAACAGAAGGAAAAAAGATTGAAGAAAAGTGAACACCATCTAAGAGACCTGTGGGACACCATCAAGTGGACCAATACACGCATTCCATAATGCGTGTCCCAGAAGGAGAGGAGAGAGAGAAAGGGGCAGAAAAATTATTTGAAAAAATAGTGGCCCCAAACTTCCTTAAAATTGATGAAAGACATGACTGCAAATATCTTTAAAAGCTTGGTGAGCTCCAAGTGGTATAAACACTAAGAGTTCCACACCAAGACACATCAGAATCAGACTGTAGAAAGACAAAGAAAGAATCTTGAAAGCAGCAAAAGAGAAGCCACTCGTCACATACAAGGGCTCATCAGGAAGATTATAAGCAGGTGTCTCACCAGAAACCTTGGAGGCCAGAAGGCAGTGAGTTGCTATATTCAAAGTGCTGAAAGAATTTGGCGAAGGTGTTCGTTCGTTCGGCTGTTCCCTGGATTTTATGTAAAAAAATCTATGGGGAAATTTCCCCTATCACGCTTGCTAAAAATGTTTTTTAAACTCTCCAAAGTTACTTCTTTAAAATGTTTTCTCTACAACTAGTGGAATAATGCAAATATATACCATTTCTACCCACTTACCTCTCCATTCCGCCTTTCCGTGACAATCTCACATCTTCATTCCTCAGAGTAACTGTTGTAGGAACTCTTAGAGACATCTCAATATTCGTTTTTCCTCTTCATCTTAGCTTAACAAACCCCAAATTTTAGCTGGTGCATTGCTTCCCAGCTAGGACTTTATCTCCCAGCTTCCCTTGCAGCTACATGTGGTTGTTTCTAGAATCTGGTCAGTGAGATTAAGTGGAATTGTCACATCTGGGAGACTTCTCAGAGTTCTCCTTTAAAGGCAAGCCTTTCTCTCCCTCTTTCCTCCCTCCCTCCTGTTGCCTTGCATGTTGACAAGATGGCTGGAGCTCTAGCAATCATCTTGAACCATGAGGACAAGGGCCATATCATGGGACAGTAGAATGGTGACCCAGAAGGAGCCTCTGTCCCTGGTGACTCCAGCTTCCATCCTGGAATGTCTATCTCTGGACCTCTTTTACATTCGTGAGAAATGAGTTTCTATCTCACATGAGTCACTTTTTTTTCCAGTTTCTATGACTTACAATCAAACCTAATTCTACCTGATAACAAACATTGGCAACGCTGGTGTTTCTTTCCACATATTTCTCTAGGCCACATAGCTACATATACATGCAAACACATATACATACGTGTAATTCTTTTAATGCCTTTTGTTTAAAAATGGAGTCAACAAATATCTCTGCTTCTAACTTTAAAAAAAAGAATAATGTAAAGGCAAATTTAAGAAAAAAATTGCATATTATTTATCACTCTCTAAGCAGCAAAGATTTTCAAAAGACTGTTTCAGTGCATGAAGTAAAATGAGCGCCCTCTAGCCCTGCTGGTGGGGAAGGAACGTATACCCTCAGGACGATGATTGAACAACATGTAACAAGAGCTTTAAAAATGTTCCTACTCTCCGATGCAGCAACTTCCCTTCTTAGATTTATGGTGAGGAAATACAGAGATGCAGAGATCTATGTCTGGGAATGTTTATGACTGTCTTGCACATAATGTTGGAGACGCTAAAAGCTCACCAGTGGGGAAATATTCAATGAAATACAGTACATCCACAAAAGGGAATACCATGCAGTCATAAAAGTGGTGTTTATAAATAATGTTAAAGACAGAGGAAAATGCTCCCCGTATAATGTGAAAGAACAAACTGTAAACCATACATGAAAAACTGCATGAATCCCACTTGGGAAAAAGCCCAGAAGTAAACATTTTTAAATGTTAATGTCAGGTCTCTCCAGAGGTAGCACTACAGGAAAATTTTGCTCCTTTACACATTTTTCTTTGTTTCCCGGATTATAGTAAATATTTACACAGGTGTGGGGGAGGCAAAGTCGGAATTAATGCAATAACAGTAAATACTGATTGCTTCTCGTGTGATTAGTGCCGGGCACTGCATGAGCTCAGAAACTCGGGCCGGTGGAAGGCTTTTTCCGGCTGAGGCCGCAGAATGACCAGTACCCCAATGGACACAGTGCAGCCTGGCCTGTGGCCGAGCGTGGAGAAATAGGAGGGGAGGTGGGCGAGAGAAGCCTGCAGATCCTGGGGACGGCGGGGGAGCCGGGGTCAGAGGCAGGCTGGGGGCCCACGCGGGAGAGAGACCTCACGAGAGGTGGGCGAGAGAGATGACCTCACTTCCCAGGTTTCACAGGCATCCCTCAGACGCCCTACCACCCTACTGTCCCATTTCACAGATTGGGACCGCCAGACCTGTGACCCCTGACTCTGTAACCCCTCCCTGGCTGTGAGCTGCTTGGTCCACCCATGTCTGTGTGTTAGATTTACAGCCATGGACCAACGGCCCGCTCGTGCTGCAGGGCTCTCCCTGGTTGGGAGGTGCATCGCAGGTGTTTCACGGCACTGCATCCCTTTTCTGCAAAGCCCCTTCTTTTGGCTGCACAGCTTGGTGGGGGTGGGTGGGCTCAGGCAAGAGGGGAAGGGACCTTCACCAGCCTGTGCCCTGCCCGGGCGGCCTCTTCTCGCAATTGAAGGTCTTGCTTGGCTGGACAGAATAGGGACCCCATCTGCTATTAGAGAAAAAGAAATATTTCCTGTCTCTGTGCCCTAACATCAGGTGAGAAATGCAAAAGGAACTGTACCCCCAAACTGCGCCACCTGCAGTGGGCGGGACAGAGGGTCGTAGCCAGCCCCCTCCCTCCGCCATCCGTCTTCAGCTCCTGGATCTTGGCAGCTCTACTGCCAGAGGGGCAATAAAAGTCTCGGAGTGATAGAAGGCAAACAGTAGAGGCTGCAGAATAAGAGCTCCTTATGGCTTTGAAATGGGGCCTGTTCGGAGGCCTTTTCACGCGCCTCCCATGCAGTAGTTGGTGCTGGCTGGGAATGAAAAGAAAAACAGGAAACTAAGCTTAGCCCTGGGTTTCTTCTTTTTCCTTTTTATTCAATTGGTTTTTTTTTTTTTTTTAAATTCTGAATTGTAAAATCTGGCGCTGACGCCCCAGACGGCTGCCCGCTCCACTCAGGAGCTGCCCGACCTTCTGGTCCAGGTGGACCCCAGGCTCTGGGCCTTGGTCTTGGCTGCTCAGGGCAGCCCCCTTCCTGCCTACTGGCCAGGCGCCTGCCCTCGGCTCCCATCGGGCCCTGGGCAGCCCGCTGCCCTGGGGGAGGGGGCCTTGTTGGCTGTGTGCCTGGCGGGGGCCAGGGGTGACGGTGGCCTGGCCAGGGGGAGCTGTGGGCAAAGGGCAGCTCCCGTAGCAGGCCGGTGATGCGGTCCTGGGCGTGAGGCTGGAGTGAATTAATCCATCCCTCCCACCAGTGTACGTTCCCAGAGGGCAGAGGCCAGTGGGGCTCCCTGGTGTAGCCCTGGGCCTAGAACAGTGCCTGGCACACAGTAGGTGCTTAATGAATACGTGTTGAATGAATGAACGGACAGATGACGGGCTTGATCCTCAGGATGGGAGTGGGGAGGGGCCCAGGAGGGACGCATCCCTGCCTCCCAGAGGTGATGGTCTGGGCTGCATTCTGACGGTCTGGGGGTGCGTGGAGGAAAGCTCCCCCTCCTTGCTGCAGGGGCAGATGGGAGGGGGTGTCACTGCGCCCCACCCAGTATAGAGGGTGGGAACGTCATCCCCAGTTTGGAGTTGGGAAAACGAGGCCCAGGGAGGTAAAGGGACTTGGCCAAGGTCATAGAGCTGAGAGGGCAGAGCCAGGATGAAAATCTAGGTCAGCCTGACTCCAAGAGGGGTGTGGCCAAGCCCCTCACTCCCGCCAGGCCTGAGGCCTGCCCCGCCCCCGAGGCCTGCTCACCCCTCCCCCCATTCCCCCTCCCCCCAGGCCAGCTTCCCTCTCCCGCGTGGGCCCCCAGCCCGCCTCTGACCCCGGCTCCCCCGCCGTCCCCAGGATCTGCGGGTCATCAGCACAGACGAGAGCCAGGTGTTCGTGGCCGTGCAGGAGTGGTACCAGACCGACACCTACAACCTCTACCAGTCGGACCCGCGCGGCGTCCGCTACTCGCTGGTGCTGGGGGACGTGCGCAGCTCGCGGCAGGCGGCGGAGAGCGTGGTCATCGACATCCTCGAGGTGGGACCCTCAGTGCGGGCTGTGGTGGGCCAGGTGGCACCCCTGTCCCGGCTTCCCCCGCCTCCCTCCCCATCTCCACTGCTCCAACCCAGGGACCTGCCAAAATTCTGTCAAGGGCCAAATATTTTAGGCTTTGCCGGTCAAAAGGGTACTACGCAGGTACTTTTAGAACAGGAGAGAAAACTTGCTCTTTTTGATGAAATTCAAGTAACAGTAATGGAGTACCTTGTGATACAGGTCTGCTAATGAGAAGAATGGAATTTGGGGGGGATAACGTTCTGCTGAGTTGGGGTTCAGGTTAGTGGTCCCATCATCGACTCGATCACCATCTGTTATCTGTAAAGCCGTTCCTGCCCTGAACGCCACTGCATGAAACAGGCAGGTGACAGAAGCTGGGACCCTCCCCTGTCCATCTCCGGCCTCGCGGCCTCCCCAGCCCCAGCCCTGGTCTCCTTGTCCCTCCCCTCTTTGTATCCCATGTCCGGCTGGCTGTCTCTTTTGCTCCCTCTGTCTCTCCCTTGGCCCTGCAGCTCCTCTCTCTGAGGTTGGGGGTTGAGGCCTCCCTGCCTGCGGTCCTCAGACCTCCCTGTGCCCTCCCTGGGGTCCCGCCCCCATCTGTGTCCCATTTAAGCTGCTTGCTCTTGTCACGTGACACCGAGGGGCAGATCAGAGGCTCTGAACTGGGGCTTCCGGCTCCCACACCGGGCTCCCTCCCCCGAGAAAACACCCACGCACCATCCTGTACTTGGATTCGCGAGTGTCGATCCCTCACCCACCATGGGCCCAGCCTGGACCTGGCCTTTCACGGTCACCTCCTCTGTTCTTGTACACACCAGAGCCAGGGAGGGGGTCCCTCAGCCGCTTTACAGGTAAGGGAACTGAAGCTCAGACAGGGCAAGCCACCTGCCCAGGTAGACCACAAGTCAGCGAAAACCCAGAAGCAGCCCGGGTCTGTCGGTCCAAGCTCCATCCATCCTCCTGGCCAACACTCCCTCTGTAGGTCATTCACCCTTAAATTCCTCCCTCATGCCCTGCCCTCAGGGAGCCCCCAGCCAGTGGGCTCACCTGCAGGGGCCATGTGTTCTCGTAGTAAACGCCGGTGGCGGTCCTGCCAGCCTCTTCTGTCCCTGTGGAGCTGGGGAGGGTGTCCCATGGTTGGCGAGCCGAGCCTTGGGCATCAGTGCGGGTCAACCCGGGTGGGAGGCGTCCTCCTGGACAGAGCCAGGGCTGCAGCCTTCCTCTTTGAGTTGTCAACAGCTGAGCAGAACCAAGGGAGTAATGAATGTAATCATTTGTTTACAATGAGAACCCATTTGTCAGGGTTTATTTCCCGAGCTGGACAGCCTGTGGCTCACTGCTGCCTGCTGAAAGTTACACACAAGACAGGCGTGTAATCGACACATAAGGAGGGCACCTCGGGCGGGAACGTCCACGGCCCACTGCGGGTATATGTAGCTCCTGTACCGCATGCCAGGCTCCAGGCCCTACCCCCGGGACACAGGGAGGAGTAGACCACCTCTCACAGGGCTCCGGACTCTACAGGAAGACCAGCTCCCACCTGGTGTGTCAGCCTCTAGAAGACACCATGAGGGGCAGTCGGCCAGCCCAGGGTGGAAGTCAGGGAGTACTTCCTGGAGGAAGGGGTGCAGGCCGAATTGAGGCTGAGCAGAAGTTAGCTAGCTGAGGAGCCAGGGAACAGTGATTCACGCCAAAGACCAGGCAGTGAGAGGCCGTGGGGATGGGAGGGAGTTCACAGTGGCCAGATCCAAAGCTGGGCCCCCTCGCAAGTGACTGTGCTTTTCTGAAATCCACTTAATGCGGATCACAGGTAGTGGTTACAAGCACAACTCTGGAGCCCCACTGCCGGGGTTCAAATCCCAGTTCTGGTATGTACTTTCTGTGTGACCTTAGGCACATTACTTAACCACTCTGTGCTTCAGTGTCCCCATTGTGAAATGAGGATGACAGTAGTACCTTCCTCAGAGGGTTGCTGTGTGAATTCGAGGCCTCCGTTTCCGTTAAACACATACAGCAGCACCTGGTGCCAACTGAGTGCTCAGCAGGCTCTCGACAGTTTTCACTGCAGGTGCCTTTTCTGTGGATTTGAGATAGTGCATGGGAAGGGCCTGACCTAGAGGTTCTACACATGCCCCAATTCCATTACTGTCATGGTTATCGTTCATCCAATGTCAGATCCAGGAAAAATGTCTTATCCCAGACGTCACAGGCAAATACTGCCCCGAGAGGCCTGGGCTTTCAAGGGCCTGTGAGCTCTGACCTCTGCAGGATGAGTCCTAGTTCCAGACAAGACGGCAACCCTTTTCTGAGGGCCTCTTTGTGTTGCAGCTTGGGTTAGGAAGGGGGTTGAAGGGGCTTCCAGTCTCATGCCCTGACCCTGAGAAACCCTGGCCACAGCTGGGAGACAGTCATTGTAGTGGGCTGAATGGAGGCCCCCAAAAGCTACAGCCACATCGAATCCCTGGAACCTGTGACCATGAGTTTATTTGGAAAAAGGATCTTTGCAGCTGTCATTAACTGAAGGATCTTGAGATGAGCTCATGCTGGACCCTAAACCAATGACAAGTATCCTGTTAAGGATCAGAAGAGGAGACACAGACACACAGGAAAGAGGGCCCTGTGAAGACGGAGCAGAGAGTGGGGTGTTGTGGCCACAGCCCAGGAACACCTGCAGCCACTTGAAGCTGGAAGACACGAGGAAGGATCCTCCCTGAGAAACTTCAGGGAGGGGCAGCCCTGCCAATACCTTAGTTTTGGACCTCTGGCTTCCAGACTGTGAGAGAACAAATTTCTGTTGTTTTAAGCCCTCCCCCCGCCACCAGTTTGTGATGCTTTTGTTACGGCAGCCCCCAGGAAGTGAGCACAGCCATGAAGGGGGCGCTTATGTGACGTGGGCACGTCAATACCGGAAGCCAGTACTCAGGTGATCACACCCTCCCCAGGGAAACGCGGCCTGTTACTGCCTCTTCTGGGATGGGAGGGTCCATGTTATTTACCGCTGAGTGTTTTCATGGAGACCAGTTGGGATATAAAAGAGCGCTTTCCAAATAAAGCAAAGCCATCACTGGGCAAATCAGCAAGCTCTCTGCCCCTAGGACATCAGGGGAGGCATCTAGACTCAACACTGAGCAGGCCAGATGCCCGCCCCCTGGTGATGCCTCAGGTGAGCCAGAGAGAGAGTGATGTCACCATGAGTGAGAGAAGGGGCTGCGGTCCTCCTGCCCCTGGGGCTGTCCCCCAGAAGGGCCATCCCCTAATCCTCGTCTGTGGGGATGAGGGCCAGACCCCTGGTCTCCAACCCAGAGAGAAGCATCCTAGCAGAAGACACAGGCAAAGGGGGATTGAGGTTAGCAATCGGCAGATGGGAAGATCTTGCAGAATTCTCCATGGGGCCCACTGCAATCTCTAGGGTCCTCACATGTGGAAGGAGGGGCAGAAGGAAGGGCAGAAAAACACCCAGAATCATGGAAGAATGGCCAGGGAGATGCTGTACCGCTGGCTTTGAAGAAGCAGGAGGGGCCACAAACCAAGCACCCCAGCACCTCTAGACACGGGGAAAGACAAGGACACACGTCTCCCCCAGAGACTCCAGTTGCTTTCAGCCCGATGGGACCCGTGTTGGACTTCCGGCCTCCAGAGCTATAGCATGATCAATGTGTGTAGTTTAAGCCCCTCTGTCTGTTGCCTGTTGTAGCAGCCACAGGAAACTCATACACAGTTCACTGTGCGTCTGAACCTGTGGGATCCACCCTGGCCTGCTCCCCACCTGTCAGACACTTGGCATTGAGGTTTAGGAAAGCACCAACCTCCTGGAGTCTGCGAATTTAATGAGATGGCACATTAATTCCCTTGCCCCCCACGTAGAAGGCACTTAACAACTGTGTATTATCACTCTCACCCTAAGCATCACACTTGGCCATGGAACTTCAGGGAAATCCCACAACTCAGCCTCAGTTGCCTTGGCTTCATGCTACTTATAGAGCAGCAAAACATGCTTCGGGCACACGGGGGCTCCGAGGAACTCAGGCCACACCAGCAGGCCTCGGTTACTGGGTCCAAGTCTTTCGTGCCCAAGGAACTTGCCAAAAAAGTTCATTTCTGTGGAACCAGGAGGTTGAGCAATTGGGAATTGCTGATATCTGACCCTTTCTTGTGCGCGAACTCAGTAACCGATCATGAGATGTGTGTGGTCACTGCCCTGGGCCCCTCAAGAAACCCTGAGAAAGGGGGCACAGGGAACTTCGACCCCCATCCAGGGCAGGCTGGGGCCGGCACGGACCCTGTCCTCACAGTCTGGCATCTGCGTGTGGCATCTGTGTGTGTGGGGCTGAGCTGAGGCAGTCCCCGGAGGAAAGCCCAGAGCAACTCCATGGGTCCAGGCCCTGTGGGTCCACTGGGAGGGAGGCGAGGGGCTAGGGCTCTGAATCAGGAGCTCCGGCTAAAGACAACGTGACCGAAATGCACAGGCATCTCGGGGACCAGGGCTCTGCTCGCCATCCGACAGCCGGGGTCTGGACCTGGGAGGACAGCTCAGTGTTGTGAAATGCACTCAGGCATTTGGGGTCAGACAGTACCGGCTCCCAGTCAAAGCTCAGGCCAGCGTCTCTGGTCCCTATTCCCCAGCAGACCCACTTGCCTGCAGGGTGTATAGTCAGCTTCAGCTCTGGGCTGTTCTTGGGGTGAAATGAGGCCGTGCACACAGAGCTCTTAGCAAGGGGCTGGGCAGGCTTTTGCCATCCTTCTTGTACTTCTGTCCCAGGTCCGAGGGGTGAAAGGAGTCTTTCTGGCGAACCAAAAAGTCGACGGGAAGGTGGTGACGCTTATAACCTACAGCAAGGGCCGAGACTGGGATTACCTGAGGCCTCCCAGCACGGACATGAACGGGAAACCAACCAACTGCAAGCCTGTAAGTGCCCTGCTCACTGCATACACCTTCCCCGGGGTGGGCACTAGACGTTACCTCAGGACCCAGGGGTCAGAGATGCTGATGTCTGAGAAGGGCCATCTGGGAGACATGAACCACCTATTTCTCTGGGTGTGGTGGAGAGGGTCACATGGAACTCCTTGCTTTACAGAAGAGTTAACTGGAAGTCAGAGAGGGGAGTGTATCAGTCAGCTCCTGCCACAACAGTGCTGTGTAACAAGCTGCCCCAAACAGCAATCACTCTTCTTGAGATCTGTGAGAGGCTGGGCTCATTCATGCACCTGGAGGTTGGTCGATTTAGGAAGGGATCTAGTATCCTCCTTCTGGGACCAGCCCAGGCACATTCTCAGGCAACAGCAGAGGTGCAAGAGAGTGAGCGGAAACATTGCAAGAACACTGCAAGCCTGCTTGTGCATCTGTTAAGCCCTGTTGGCCAATGTCAAGGGCCAGGAAGTACACTCTGTGGAAGTTGGGGGCTGGATAAGTGAGGGGGAGCCAGGACACAGCCCAAATGTCATGAGCCCTAAGCCAGTCCAGCTATTCCAAGGGTGCCTTTCTACATGAATATGAGTATAGGCTGCCCCAGTGTCTTCACTGCCTTGGGGGTGGAGAGGGCTGGAATGCCCTTTTCTTCTTATTCAGTGAACTCCTACTGACACCTGAAAACCCTGTCTAGATGTCCCCTCCACTGAGAAGGCTTCACTGGGCACATTTACTTCTATTTCCCCCTGGCTTCGACCGGAAGCCCCTCACAGTCAAGGACCCCCATCCATTGCTGTGCCTCTGTAACTGAAAGAATAACAGTGCCTATTTCACAGGGATAGTCATCCAACAAACATGTAAGGGGACCTACTATGTGCAAAGCACTGTTCTGGGTGTTGCGAATGTATCAGCACACAAAACAGCAAACAATCCTGCCCTCTTGAGATCTGCCTGGATCTCTGCAGGGCCCCTGAAGATGGTAGGCACCCTGCCTGGACAGCCACTGACCACCCGCCAGGGCCAGGGTGGGGCTCTGTGCTCTCCGGGCAGAGCCTCGGCCTGGGCAGTGTCAGTCCCTCGCTCCCTGACCTCACCGACTAGGGGCCTGTGCTCGGCCTCTACGCAAGCCCCCGTCCTGCTAATAACGGGATAATAACATCTGTCGACCACCGGAGAGAATTAATCACCTGCCCCTTGTAAAAGCTCTTCTGAGAAAAAAATTGCTGTGAAAGGGCTAATTTTTGTATCACCATCGACAAAGTTAAGCCATATTAATCAGTCAAAGCAAGTTTTCGCTAAGGATAGATTCTTGTCTGCAATTATGCAGCTCAGCGAGGAGATAACCTTTCAAGATTTATGTCCTGGCCTTAAAATAATAAAAGTAGGGGTCAGCTGGTAAGTGCGTGGCTGCAGGCAGGCACGCAGAGAGCCCGACGAGCACAGTGGACAGAGGACAAGTGTCGGGACATCCAGCTGGGCACAAAAGCCAGAAATCGATCGCAGCCTTGGCTCCGAGGCCCATTACCCTGTGTGTGCAGACCTGGCAGCAGCGGGTGGGGGGCATGCTGGGTGGGCAAACGTGGCCCTTCTCCTGGGTTTCTTCTCAGCCGCACAGCCTCCAACTGCACAGGGCAAGCTACACTTGAGGGTTTATTTCTCATCAGAAATGTGATTCCTGCTTATTGCCGAATACTTGAAAAAAGCAGAAATGTATAGAAAGGGATATAAGTTACACCTGTAACCACGTCACCCAGAAGTAATGGTAATCGGGCATTTTTCTGGTCAATCCTTTGGCTTACATTCACGTTAAAAAGTCCTCTTTGGGATCCTGACACGTGTGTGGTTTCTGAGTCTTCCATTTCTCTCTTAACTCTGGGTCATGAAGGTTTTCCCGGGCCATTTGACCAGCTCTCTGGCTGGGGAGATTTCCTTCCAGTGACAGGGAATAGATGAGTGTGGATCAGACCTGTTTTAGGATGAGAAATGGCCCTTGGAAGACGGTTTTGCATCTGTTGACATCTGGATTCAGAATGAAAACCCATTCGTGTTGCTGCCCATGGTAACGCTTCTCAGCAACCGGGCTGAGCCGAGCAGTGGGGTGTCCGGCAGGGGCGGCTGGCAGTGTGGCCCTCCAACCCTCCGGTAGTCTTTGCTGCGCGCCTCTTGAGAGCACCAGCCGGCTCCTGCATGTAGAGGGGCCGAGAAGGGGGAGCCTTGGGACGGTGTGGGCCTCCCAGCTCGGTCCGCGTCACATCCACCCAAGCGCTGCAGGTACCCGGGCCACCCCACCAGGACGAGGCATTCAGCACCGACTCCCCGGGCACCAGCCTGTCCTTGAGGTCTTCCCACCCTTGGCCTGGGTGTCCTCGGGGGACCCTGCCGTGTCCGACTGTACACCCCAAGAGCAGCCTGGCACTCAGTGCTTCCCATCCCATCACATGTGCAGGTGCACATGGGGGTCGGCCTCTCCAGGCCTGCCTGGCCTTCCATGCCCTTTATCAGCTCAGCTCAGTTGGCTGGGCCTTGCGTCAGCTTGTCAGATACCAGCAGAGCACCCACTACAGCTCCAGGACCGGCTGGAAGACATCTGTGTGGCCCTCCATGGCGCCAAAGGGGACTGCAGCTCTGTCTGTGGGCCACTGCTGACCGCAGGGAACCCTGAGGAGTGTTCCACTTCTGGCCCCAACAGACGACCAGCAGTCAGGACAGAGCAGCAGTGGGCTGGGGAGGAGGAGGGGCAGCCAGGTTCTATGAGCCACAGCCTCAGACTTCCTCTGTTCACTGCATGCAGAGACAGGGATATTGTGTGCACAGCGCATCACGGAATGTGGAAAAGGCTGGTTGCAGCCTGGGGAGACCAGCCCAGAAGCTTGGCCACTCCAGGCCCTGCCTGGCCCCCCGGGACCTCTGGGGCACCAGAGCAGGGCCATGCCTAGGCCGGACCTTCTCAGCCCGGGAGCATGCCAGTGGGACACAGGAGGGCGGGCCACGTCCCTGCCGAGGGTCCTGTTCCTCCTGCTGTAGAGCTTCCTTCTGCAGGTAGAGACTGGCCCTGCTCAGAGAGGTCATGGGCACCCCTCCCCCTGGACACGCCCTCCCCGTTAGTGCCTGGTGGTTGGATGGGCGAGGGGGCCGAAGGGTGTCACCACAGGTATTAGGTCACCAACCTGCTTGTCAGCTGTAAGAAACCAGGAGAAATCCAGAAGCGGGGACAGCTTAACCTTCCACAGTGGGTGAAGTTTGTCTTGTTCAATCCAGGTGTTCCTCGACGGGGACTCTCCTCTGGGGTGATTCCGTGACCAGGCTCCCCACTCCACAGGGCCTTGCCATCTTCAGCCTTGGGGTCCCCAGGCTGCCCCGGGGAGGGTCTCTAGCCTAACCAAGTCTGCTTCAGAAGGGGGCCTCTTTCAGCTCATTTTGCCACCTCTTATTTTGTTTGTTTTCAGTAGCTTGACTGAGGTACCAATCACATCCCATACAATTCACCCATTTAAGTGTGCAATTCAGTGGTTTCTAGTATCTTCACGAACTTTACAACCACCACCGTAGTCCATTTTAGACCATTTTCATCACCTCAAAAGGAAACCCTGTACCCTTTAGTCACCACCCCCCATCTCCCATCCCACCCCCTGCCCTGAGCAACCACTAATCCACTTTCTGTCTCTATAGATTTCCCTGCACTGGACATTTCCTGTCAGTGGAACCATACAGTATGTGATGCAACAAATACATTTTTTTAAAACTCTGGTACAGACAAATAGAGCCCATCTCCTACTGGATCGGGCCCTGGTGGCATCTGACCCAGATCCATATCCAACGTACTGATCAGTTTCATTTTTAACTTCAGATAATCTGTATAAAACATACTCAGTTCACGGACCAGAAGAAAGTGTTAAAGAAACATAAACTGTAGAGAAAAAACATCTCTCGGATGGATTTCGGTAGACAGTAGAATATAGCAATGACAGTGGAGCTCTGCAATGACCCTGGAGGTGTGGGCGACAGGCAGCCCCGGCTAATGGCTGGCGGGTCACTGCCCGGTGCCGTGTCCGGTGGCCTGGAGGGAGCTGTGCGGAGACCTTGGGCCTTTGTCCCGTGCCCTGTGGTCTTGCGGTCTATTGTGGATGTGACAGAGGGATTGTGGCCTTGAGTCACCGAGGCCAGGGGAGAGGAGACTCAGGAAGGTCAGTCCAGAGGACACATCATTCTCAGCTCGTCTGTTCCCCGGGGATCCCCCAGCCCCAGCCAGGGGAGCTGGCTGTGGCCTCTGCCATCTCAACAGAGGGTGGGGATGCAGGCAGCTGGGGTGGAGACAGATGAGGGGTCTGGCAGCACCGGGCAGGAAACAGCTGGTGCTTCCTCGTTCTGGGGGCTGCTGGCCCAGACCCGCCACGGGGCGCAGAGCATGGACTTTGGAACCAGGCAGCCTCAGCTGTGGTCCCAGCCCCACCACTGCCCTGGCAAGTTGCTTAAATGCACTCTGCCTCAGTTTCCCCATCAACACAGAAGGAATGATAGTACGGATGTTGAGAGCGTTCAGTGACGCACACCTCGTAAAGTACTGGTGCTGGCCCAGAGGCAGCCGAACAGCAATGTGAGTTGCCGTTGGATGTCTTATTACAACCAGTGTCTCTGCCCCTGCAGCCAGGGCACCAGCCGGGGCTGCGTCAGGGTTGCACTGATGCTCGTGAGTAAACTGGGCTCTAGCGTGCCCACCTTACCCCCTGCCTCTCCCATAGGGCGCAGGGCTTACGGGGTATCCCGCAGCTGTCGCCTGATGCCCAGGCTACCGTGGCCACCTAAGAGGCCCCCAGTAAATGTTCTGGGCGGATGAATGAATGAATGAACGTGGGCATGGACCGTGCAGTCTCCCTCCCGGAGTCCCGTTCTGCAGCCCAGCTCTGCACTCAGGAGCCACGTTGGGGAGCCCACCCTCCAGCACCCAGGCTGGGAGAACCCTCCACTGGAGAAGCCCACCTGGCCGTCAGCCTCCAAGCCTCCTTCCTGCCCTCCCCCGACCCCTCTGAAGCACTCCTGACTCCACCTTCACAGCCAAAAAGCCACAGGGGTGGATTCAGTCTCAGCCTTACTTTTTCTCAGGTCATTTCTTCCTCCCAAGTGCTGACCGTGGCTCCCTCTCTCCCCCCCGCAGCCGGACTGCCACCTGCACCTGCACCTGCGCTGGGCCGACAACCCCTACGTGTCAGGCACTGTGCACACCAAGGACACTGCCCCTGGCCTCATCATGGGTGCAGGTAAGAGGTTGCCATTATGGTCAGGAGCCATTACTGCCTGCAGGACGCTCCAGTTTCAAGGGTAGAACTTGATGGTCGTGGGCCTGGGGCCATGGTGTATCCTCTGGGGGCAGTGCCACAGTACCTCCAGGAAGGCAGCTTACCTGGCACATCACCCTGAGGAGTGATTGCATAGCCCAGAGTGGGCACCTGACATGCGTTGCCTAAATGAAAGCTGGATAGATGTTGGTTGGAAGGATGGATGGATGGATGGTTGGAAGGATGGATGGATGGATGGAAGGATGGATGGATGGATGGATGGGTGGATGGATGGAAGGATGGATGGATGGATGGGTGGATGGATGGAAGGATGGATGGATGGATGGATGGATGGGTGGATGGATAGAAGGAAGGATGGATGGATGGAAGGATGGATGGATGGATGGATGGATGGATGGAAGGATGGATGGAAGGATGGATGGAAGGATGGGTGAAAGGAAAATTGGATAGTTGAAAGAATGGATAGTCAGATGGCCCAATGGAAGAATGGATAACAAAATGGTGAATGAATACATAGAAGGATGGATGGGTGGGTGGATGGATAGATGGATGGAAGGACAATTTGCACCATGGTTGACTTTTATCGGTCCCTAAAGAAGGTTCTAGTTTAGTGGGGAGAGAGAGACACGTATACAACTAACATAAGGGGAAAAAAAACAAGTATACATTGTGATTGTGTCTGTCTACCCCATTAAACTAGAACTTTCTTCAGGGATCACTAAATGTATGCCGATCTAAAAAACTCTAAAATAAGGTTTATGTGAGTTAGAAGAATCATTCCAAATAAAATCACATGTTTTACAAGTCCATTGCCAGGTAGCGGCTGGCGTTTGGTTTTCCTTTTACCCATCAGTGTGGGGATAGCCTCACCAGCTCTCAGCAGCTAAGGCCGGGGAAGGGTCCCTGACGCCATGGAGACAAAGGTGGGGAGGACAGGACCATGTCCGTCGTGTCCACAGTCGCTACGGTGGCTCTTTCTCCCCGGCCAGGCCCTGAACTCTTCTAATCACCATGACAACCCTGAGAGGTCAGTACCCCTACTTTATGGAGCCCAAGGAGAGGGAAGACTTGCCCGCAACTTGCAAGGTGCCATCAGGAAGCTTGAGACCCACCCCAGGCTCCTCAGGGAAGGGCAGCTCCAGCCCCAGGAGGGGCTGCTGTGCCCCTTGAACCTGCAGTAGGCAAGGCTCTGGGGTGGGCCCATCAGGCCTGCCACTCATCTGGGCTGTGGAACGGCCAGGCTGAGGCTCTGCACAGCCAGGGTGCAGATGGGGCGAGTGGCAGTCGGAGAGACAGTGTCTCTGCCCATCACACAGGTGGGACCACCAAGGCCTGGGCCGGGGCTCACAGCTTCCTGAATCAGGGGCTCCCTCCCTCTGTCTACTCCAGCACCATCTGCGACCCGGAGGATTTGCGCCCCAGACCCTGAGCTGGATGACACATCCACCCCTTCAGCAGATGTATCCCAGCACTGAGGCCCGGGCCTGGCTGTGTGTGAGAGAGTGAATGAGTGAATGAATGAATGAGTGTATGAATAAATGAGTGGCCATGCTGACATGGCAGGAATGGCTTTCCAGGCAGAGGCGGGAACGTGTTTTTCAGAACGACCGAATCAGAGCCCATGAAGGGGCGATCCCCTGTCTGCTCTGTGGGTCTCTGATGGCGGGAGACCTTGGCTATCCGAGGGGCGTCTCCCGTTATCCTGGAGAGGGTGGCTTTCCAGTAGGGGAGCGAGCGACACAACCAGACAGAGAAGACTGCAAGTACAGCCTTTCATCTTCTGAGCGTCCTTCTGTTCATCTACGTCCCCGGGGGTCTTAGTCAATGACTGCGACTGGGGCGGGGTCTACCCGCTTCAATGACGGACGTGCGTCAATCAATGAAAAATCACACATCAGCCTCGATTTCAGTGCAGCTCATGGGGCTCCAGGTCCCATGCAGGGACGGGCTGGGTCGCCCATGTCGGGCACCGCCTGTCTTGTGGACTCTGTTCCCTGGACCTGAAGGCGATGGTGTATTTTTTTTTTTAAACATCTTTATTGGAGTATAGTTGCTTTACAATAGTGTGTTAGTTTCTGCTGTATCACAAAGTGAATCAGCTATACATATACATATATCCCCATATCCCCTCCCTCTTGCGTCTCCCTCCCACTCGCCCTATCCCACCTGGCGTGGACATATATACACTACCAAATGTAAGGTAGATAGCTAGTGGGAAGCAGCCGCATGGCACAGGGAGATCAGCTCAATGGTGTATTTAAAATGCATGTTCGTGATGGGTTGGAACCCCAAATTCTTGACCAAAGTACAAAAGGCGGAATTTCAAATGTTTCCACCGCTCAAAGGCCTTGAAAGCTCTGGACAACCATTCCAGCCCCCCAGGGATGCTGTGAGGGTCTGCAGAAGGTTCACTTCATTGTATGCGAGTCACACGGAGAACGGGGAGCGGAGGGGGTGACCTGGCAGCCTCCCTCTCACTGTCCCCCCAAGGGCAGGATGCTACATTTATATTTCATTCTGCTGCTTTTTCATCCCGCCATGGCTTTCCTGAGATGGATCCATCCGTGCAATGTGGGCCAATTGAGGTGTAAATGTTTTACATCCTCCGCTCCAGCCCTGAGCGTCTGCTGGGAACAGAGGGGAAGGTGGAATGAGCTGGGCTCCCTCTGGCACCGCTGCGGCTGCCGAGCGGGGACCAGTTTCCCACTGGCGGTCCCCACAGTGGGCTGGACGATGTGGCAGGAGCAATGGGGCCACGTGACGGCCTGTGCCTGGCTGAGCTTCCCGAGGCAGCCATGGGCGATGGCTGCCTGTTTCCAGGGAGTCTCTCTCCTGATCTCCCTGCCATCCATCCCTCATTCCACCCTGAGGCAGGCAGGTGGGAGTTACAAGCCCCAGGTTCTACCACCTCCAGCTGCTGGGCCTTGGGCATTTACTGGACCCTCTGAGCCTCAGCTTCGTCGCCTGCAAAACAGAGGATGAAACCTCCACCGGAAGGCTGATTTGGGGATCAGGTAGAAAGCATCAACACTAGGTGTGTTTCTACAGGTGGCCCTGTCATTTGAACAGTGGCTGGACACCACTGCCCTTCTGCTGGGGACATGTCCTCCGGTTCAGTGGACAGAGGCCAGACCCACAGATGGATGTAGAAAATGGGGCCATGAATCCAATGAGGAAGGGAAAAGGATGGTTCAAGAAGCAAAGACCAGGGGCTTCCCTGGTGCCGCAGTGGTTGAGAGTCCTCCTGCCGATGCAGGGGACGCGGGTTCGTGCCCCGGTCC